TTGTAAATACTGCTATAATCTATAAAAAAAGATCGTATACAATATTATGTCTCGAATACTTCAGGATTAATCGATTAATTTGTTAATCGCCAATTATTCCGTAACGAGTGGAGTCATTTGTAGGTATTTTGTCATAACAAGAAAAAATTGCGTTTAAGGGATGACAATCCTTTTCAGTCGGGCATTGCGCTGTACGTGTGTAAGCGTTGTTCGATCTAGAACGTGGCCCGACATCGGCGGAAACGATGTACGTTTCGTTTTGGTCGATTGCCGCCGCTCGTGTTCTCGTGTCGCGAGTAAAATTGAAAAGCGTGTTAAGGCTGGTACAGTTTGCTCGGAATCGATTGTTCAAAGTCGTTACTCTCAGCGATCCCTCGCAATTCTGTTGCTTTTCACGTCATGATTCATAAAGAAATGTTAGAAATTAAAAGAATGACATACTGGATTTTATCACAATTAACGCACGTCCGCATCGCTTTATTTCTTTTTTCCACTGGTTTTACTTCTCAAATTTTAAAAATACTCGTATTTCTGAAAAATGGTCGGAAAAAACCTGGGAAATTGACTCTTTGTACAGACTTTTTGGAACGGAAATTGGTTACGAATCGCATGTCATACAATCACGTGTAATTATAAGATTAATGGAGCTATTGAGGTTGCAATTATGGGTCAGAGGCTATTTTCGGTAAATCCTCTTCGTTGAAATATCACTAACTTTATCACATCCGGTTATATATTTTACTATACAACGGGTTTGAAAAGTTGCAATGGAAACTGTACGCGAGTGAATGAACAGGAGCCAGTTCTCCAATAACAGCGAGGTTTAATGCCACGTGAAATTTCTGTCTTTTACTGCCGATAGCGAACAGCTTAATTGATGCATTAATAAAAGAGAAATATCGGGAGACGGAAGTTCTTATTGTATCGAATTCGACTAATTGATTTCGCGGGGGGATGAACGTTTCGGTGACTGGAGAGAGCCGGCCTGTTTAAAGTTTAAGCGACATAAAAGTTTCAGTAAAAAGTCCCAGCTTCCCAGAAATTGAGAGAGACTCTCTTTACTACTTCTGTCGCTTAAGTATTGACCTAAATGGTTTCCGGCTTCTTGCAATAATAATAAGAGGACGAGGGAGGAGGATGAATGAAAGAAAAAAACTCGGTTGAAAATGTATCGGAACGTATGGACATAACTTTTAGCCGCGAGAAACAATAAAACGTTTATGCGAATTCTCTTATTTGTTCTCAGTTATGCCCCCTTTCTATGTTTTACTATTTGCTTGAGAGCACCGATACCGACTATTTAATTTCCTCAACCCCTTTCCAGATGAAACAGAGAGAAAGAGAGGGAGAGAGGGCGAGCGAGGGAGTGAGAAAACTTATCGAATAAAGTAATATCGATAAAGCGAGATTATCTGAAAAAGCGTTCTGTTATTTGAAAGAAAAAACCGTGGGAAGGCTCGGAAATAGGTTATCACAGGTTCAATTTAAACGAGCGAGGGAGGAAAAAAAATCGGATTAACTCGCTGCGCTGCAACCAAAAATATGAATTCCCCGAACGAGCGTCGGACCGATTCGGATTAAACGTTTGTTACATTTCGACCAGCGATACTCTTATCCGCGTCTGGCAATATACAAATTCTTCTTCTTGTATTTTTTTTTATTTTTATAAAAATCTTTGCCAGCGAAAAGATTTTCTTATTGGCCAAGAGAAACTTACCTTGAAGAGGATCGAGATGCCGAGGTTCATGAATGGCTTCGTGAAGTCGATCACGCTCTCACGGGCGTAATTGATGGTCATCGATCCGACCGCCAGATCTGCTTTCTGCGAATTGATGCAGAACGCGGTTGATTACTCGGTGGAAACAGGAGAATCGACGAACATGGACATGGCTATACTTTATGAAATCGACAAAGGCGTCATGTTTTGCGTTATAACTGGACACTATCGTTCGAAGTGTTGAAGCAACAATTGCAAAGATTAATGAAAAATTATTTTATATAGCAAGAAATTTAAATAACCAATTTTCTTAAAATGCGATAAGAGATATTGGAAACTTTGCATGTATTCAAACTTTGAATGATAGTGTACACAGTATGAAAGAAGATGATAGACAGAAGTGATAAGGTAAAAGATGATTGCAAGAGACGTACGTCAATGTGTTTGTAAAATGTTTGTGAATTCTTTTGGTAATTATGTATGATCGTGTTCTACCTTTTCGCAATGTTCTCTTGATAAATCTCTCTATCTAATCTAAAAGCTTGACAGTGCTGTTATCGTGAAATGGTGCGACGTGAATTATCTAAATTCTAAAATCAGCCGAACCGGATTACTGCCTACAAGTGGCTATTTTTCATTCTGAAATCGTTATCTCCGGCTGTGTGACAAGATTGCTGTACAATTTCGAGGGAACGTCGTATGACGAATTTACCGGTGAAATTCATCTGAAGGAAAAAAAGGCAATCAATCTTCGTTTTGACGGGAAACGAAGGACCCCTACTAAAGGACACGTTGCACCGTGAAGGGAAAGAGATCCGCGGCGCGGGTACATTTTCAGGACGAGTGGGCAAAACGGAGGATGCATACGCGGCCGGGTTATCTGACTGCTTTTTCAGCGTCTGGGAAAGCACTCGCCGTGCCACGGGGCACGCCATCAGCCCCGGTAGATTTATTTCTGGCTGCCTCTACCCTCGCTCGGAAACCGTATATGTGGCCACCGCCGATAAGGGGAGCTGAAAAGAAACCGTTCACCACGTTGCGCCTGTTCTATCCATCGTTTACCCGCCGGTTTAACGAGCGGTTTATATTAAATCGTTCCGCTGACAAATTTTATTAAGTAACAAGACAACCAGATTCTACGATCCATCGTCCGTGAAACAAGATTTTTCCGCTTAAAACGGCGTTGAATTCCAAAAATATCCACTGTTTGAAATACAAGAGAAAATCGGTTTTCTACGAATATGCGGAGCACAATGGTTTTTTACAAGGCAGTACAATGGTTCGTCGGTTAAAATCAATTTCGATGATTGGATTTCTCTTTTTACTCGTTCGTACAAAATTCCTTTTCCCTCGAATGTTTCTTTCAAATCAATTACGACGTCGAAACTGTCGGCAAAGGGACGAATAAATTTTTTTATGCCCTGGGATAAGCGTGTTCAATTTTTTTCGATCCGTCCCCAGTGGGTACTGATCGTAATTTATTTACCCGTGTTCGATTCGTAAAGAGGGTTCATTAATCACCGAGGCTGTCCCGTGTAAATATAGTGGCATCAAAGAACGGTAGCGCGCTAAGTGGACTCGGCAGTAATTCAGCTCGAGTCCTACTGGCTCTTCATTACGGAGAGGTCCTGCCGGTTAAGTCGCATTTTTCTGTTCAGGGACGTGAGAATTATTAATGATCATCTAACGAAATTAATAACGCGCGCCCTCCGGTGATACCGTCGCTCAGCTTTGAACCAGCTGCCGGGAATAAAAAACGGGCTGGCCGCAGCAAATTTCTCTTCGTCCAGCAGTTTTACTGAAAAGCCTTTTAATCGCGTTCAATTTAATCGTTAATTACCAGCGTTCCGACTAAAACTTTCCACAGTTTAATCTACTGAAATCGATTTTGTATCAATTCGATGGTGAGAAAAATATTACAACACTTTCCCTACGTATACATGAATAATTTTAGTTTCACGCGATAAATAAATTAATTGTTTTTAAAATACAATTAGACGGATCACAGCAAGCAGTTTAACTGATCTAATTAATAGAATCGACTTATGTAAATAAATTTTGCTTTCAGATTACGCGACATTATGGGAGATTAAAGTGATTTTCCATTAAAGATATGCCTCAAAGCCCGTATGGTCGAGCGGGCAGCGAACGCGGGAACATTATTACCGCGCTAATTCCCCCGAAATCGCGATATTAATTGTTACACGGATAGGCGGATCCGCAAATACCAGATTCATACATAATGCATCGCGTAGGATACCGGCGCCAAATGTTTCAGATTCATCGCGAGAGCAGCTCAGGAATTCCTTTGTACGGCGTGAAACACGCCTTTCATTTTCCAATATATTTCTCACGCTGTATAAACATACAACAGCATGCGGCATCATAGTTGAAAAAATTCATTTTTAACTTTCATTTACAGACTTCATTTGTTATTAATAATCAAACTCGTATCGAATGAGGTGTTTGTTAAATAAATATTATATAAAATTATTAACACTAGATTGCCCAANTGTTATATCTGATTTAATTATTTTATATTTGAGCTTGAAATGAACTTTTACAGACGTGTACGAGACAAGCGATATGTCGATAGCCAATAGGACTAATTTATCAACATCGATACTCGCTTTCCGCTCTGAGTATGGATCCGCTTAATCAATCGGCTGTGTATTAGCCGGCTATCCGGAACTGAACAGGGGCTGACAGGGGTCGAAGTTACGCGAACAGCAAGGTTCCGCGTCTCCCCGCCCGGGAACTATGCACGCCGCACGCATTTCCGCTGTACGGAATCGTGATTTGCATTGCAAACCGCCACGCCGCCCACGAACGGGGCTCCTACATCCCCTTTCGCATCTTCGTTATCGTTATCTGTTGAGAACTACCTCTTGGAACTCGAGGCGAATGCGACGACAAATTTTATCACACTTGCTCGAATACTGATTAGATATTATCCCAACGTTTCTCGTATTTTTATTGAACAGTATTTTTCCAATATATTTGTTACGCTTATTTCATCAGGAAAATGCCAAAAACAAATGGAAAACAATATTGAGAACGTTTCTTTCATGTTTTTATCGAGCATCCATTTAATTGTCAGCAACGTTTTATCGTTTATTCGTTGGTTGGTCCCTGAAATAATGTTTCGATCGATTCTCCAATATGTTTTTCATGCCAATTGAAATGATTCAGCTACGTTGTATTTTTTAACAAAGTCTTTCTCTGCAAATTATAGATTTTATCGTACGCAAAAATAAATCTAGTCTGAAATCTTTTGTGCCTTTAAAGTAGATGTTAAAAATTCATAAAGTCCTCTTACGAGTTTATAGAATCATCCGTATTTCAGTTTTAGAACTCTGTTTTAAAGAAAGGCTCTTTTCTCATCTCGCTTGCTTCTTCGCATCAATACTTTAGCATCCTCGTTTAAAAGGGCGCTTCCTCGGACCAGCCTAAGTGCTCGGCCATACCTACCCGCGTCAGGTACGCGAGATGAGCTTGCGGTCGCATGTAAATTTCCGCGAGTCGCGCAGCACCATTGTCTCGAGGACGATTCTACTCACCTTGTCCATCAGCTGGCGTACGATTCCGTTCCACTCGCCGGTCCCGTAATCGTAAACGCCGTACTTGCCGTCCGGCACTAGCTCGATCCTGTAGGCGAAGCCCACCATGTGAGCTATCTCCTTGAGTAGGTCGATGCAGAAGCCCTCGTAACGTGCGTTCCCGCTGAAATTCCCTCTGCTCTTCAGCATTACGTACGGCTGCTCCTACGAGGACCATAAAAAGGAGCTACTACCATTCTCTTCGTCGTCCTTCACCTCCACCCACATTCTTCTCTTCTTCCCGCCTCTTCTCCCGTCCTTTCGTCTATGTTTTTTTATTCACACGGGAGTTCCCGCTGCGAGGACGCTTTTAGATTTTCCGTTTCATTTATTACCGTCCCCTTTTCGGCTCTCCCATTATTAATCTCTGTTCCTCTTTCATTTTGTGTCTACGCCTCTTCAATTCTATGATACCTGCGTAATCTCCAGTCTGGCGTAACGCTTGTTTCCTTCTCCATCGATCTATCACGTCTCTCGGAAAATCTCGGCCGCACGTTAACAATTATTTTTCATTTCAATACGATCCGACTGGCAAGCGTCTTGTTGAGAACGGGGAAAATGCGATCTCGATGGCCATCTAGACCCCATTGTTTCACTCAGGGTCGATACTTGTTTACCGCGAACCGCGCGAGACGCCACGCCGCCGCGCCGCACTCGATGCCCCGCTCGATGCTGATTACCGGCTAAATGGATTACTACTCGATAGACTATTACCGTGAACGTTCCCTCGGGATAACGCAGCCAACTCGGCTGGCTGCGAACGTGGAACAGGTAAAACGGATACGTACGCGAGTGCCTCCCTCCCTCCCTCATGGGAATATCCACCGCCGCGGTAGTCGTACTGATATTTTCAAAGGTTTTGCGTGAACGTACCATCCCGCGGGATGAAATGCAACGATTCATCGTCCTGTCCGTGTCCGAGGTGTTGAAAAATATGTTCTATCATTTATTTAAACAATTATTATAAATTGAAATTGTCAATCGTTCTGGTTAATTTATTTGTCGTAACCGTGGCGCAAACACAGCCTCAGTTTGTGCTCCTATTTACGTCGAGACATAATTCATAAAGCAAATTCAATCGAATTTCATCCAACTCCAGCGCTATCGGTAAACGAGATGATTCAAACGTTCTCGGATCAGTCGAGCGAAAATTAGTCGTGCGTGTTCCCGGGTCGTAAAGTCAAACACGTTTATACCATGCGAACGGGTTTAGAAAGAGGAACAGAGAGAGAGAGAGAGAGAGAGAGAGGGAGGAGTCACGAAGTTCCCTGTCATTGATTGACTTCTAATTACTCGTTGAAGTTGCTCATTAATTATGCGATATAATGTGCTTAGTATAAGCATCCCTCGTCACTGTCTTCCTTCGTACAAGCAAAGATAATATTGGCATTGTAAAGTCGTATTTTAGATTAAAATGATTGATAAACGCAGTGTTTATATATAAATATGTATAATGCTTAATAAACAGAATCGCAGTTTTGTTCGCCACATCTTGAGAACTTTTAATCGGAGTCGCTCAAGAATTTTTGTTTAGAACGCATCGTCTTTCCTCTGATACATTTTATATCGCAGCGTTGCCACACGGATATGCTTCACTCTTGAATCTTACAGAGGTTTCAACTGTTTCCCTAAAGTGTTCTCGAGAGAGCTGTCTATCAATCTTTCAGCTAGCATTACCTCTATCGTCTAGACGAATACTAAGAGTATACTATGCCACGTTGTTCGAGTGTTCCCTAATGTGTGTCTAGCTAAGCGTGGGTGCATTCAGAACGTGTTAATTTTTGTGTACAGTGGGTAGAGCGATCTAATTAAAAAGATAGTAGTGGAACGTGTTAACTGTGTGTGCTAGATGCTCTACGTTTATCTGGAACCTGAGTGAGAAGGGTGTGAGGGTAGCAAGTGTGAAATAGAGAAAAATAGAGGAAGAGAAAGAGAGAGAGAGTGATGAGAGAAATTAAACAAACCAAATCATACATGTCGCATGAGTTCTCTGACGATGCCGTTCCATTCCCCGGTTTCCGGGTCTTTCGCGCCGTACTTCCTGTCCGGTACCAGCTCCAACCGGTAAGAGAAGCCGACCTCCCTCGCCACCGCCTCCAGCAGGTCCACGCAAAAACCGTAAAATCGCGCGTTCCCCGTGTAGTTTTTTTCGTAGTGCATCATCACGTACGGAATTTCCTGTGCCGCAAACGGGGACCCATGGAAACAACGGAACACGCTGTCAGACCTGGCCAGCAAACGCCCGTGCGAGACGTGCCTCCCTAGATTCCGACGATTCTCCATAATCGAACGGATCTCCCCCAACCGAATTTGCTCATCGATTTAGATTATTCGAATAACAGAGTACAGAGGAATTTTCTATAGTTTGCAATTTCGTGCTTGTAAAATCAATTAAATATTTTCAATATCAAAAAGTTTGTAATAACATCAACGCTTGGAATTATTATTATATGAAGTATGATATCTCCCCTTCTGATCATTTCGTTAGATGAAGACTACAGAGAATTCGTATCACTTAATAATCATTTTACGACTCGCCCTAACTCCCAGTTAAGTTCTACGTACGACGGCTACCGGACGTAAAGCACAAGAATCTCATTAAACGGAATTTTAGTATACCACGTCGGGGTCCGTAAATACCCTTTACACCAACGCACGAATCTTCGTGTGCGTTTCCAGAGTGGTCGGCCTTGTGCCTGGAACGTATCTCGATCTCGACCGATCGATTCTTTTCACGAGGCTCCGACTTTTTACAGTTCGTTAAACCTCGTCGTGTCGTCATTTTTATGCTGTGGCGCAAGAAGATTAGAACGAAAGACACGAAAACTATTTGTATCGGACGTGTTCCTTGGAGAATTTCGTTTGTAGATAATCAGACCACGCAGTTTCGACGATGAAAATGACCTTTCGGTATGGAGGCAATGGGGTGGGCTTGGACTCACCAGTATCGTGATCACGAGCAGAGTCACGTTCGCTGTTCCTGGCTCGAAGAAGGCCACGGTGTCCGTCACGTTGACGCCGGCGCCTGGACGCCACTCGCCGACCTGATTTCACAATGTTTACGCAATTATAAAACTTACATCATTTTACCAGAAAATATTAGAAACTTAAAATGAGACATAGAAATAATGAGTCAACATTTTGCAGACAATACACAGTATAATTATTTTGCAATGTTTAGGCGAATATAAAACTATCAAACCCATCGTTTTAGCAAAGAATATTAACCCCTTGACATACAATGACGAGTTTGACTCGTCATTTATTCCATTTAATTTGTATGTAAAGTTCTATTTAATTTGTATGTCAAGGGGTTAAAAGCTTACAATCAAACAGAAATGAAAAGTCTTATTAGTTCAATTGTATCGATTATTTTAATGATAATTAATTATTTGAATTCTGAAGGAGAGTACCTTCACCAGAGAATGTTGTTTGAGCTTGAGCAGGTCCAGTTTGAACTGAATCCTCCGTCCCTCCGTGAACTCGATGGGCCCGGAAATACCTTTCATCTTAACCTGCGACAATCAAGAAAACACGATTCGTCGAGAACTCTGCCGCAATTTTTCTACGTATAAAATAAAAGCAACCTCAGGTAACGGCGTGTCATCAACCCGGCGATATGTAATAAGGGTTCGCTTTGGAAATTTACGATCTGGAAATAAAAGTTCGAGGGGAATTCTTTGGGCCGGAAAAAAAAAAGATGAAAGTTCCCGGGAACAAGTTGAGGAAAAAAATCTTTTCACGATGGTTGAATCATGATTGCAGCATTTGCATCCCGGTCAGTGGCCGTCGACGAGAAAAACGAAGTTAGTCGGTAGCCGGGGGTTGAAGAGATTAAAAAGTCCGGCTGGGTCAAAGCTGGCTCGGCACGGAAATTTATGCGCTCCGCGATCTCCGCGAGGAGACGCGATCCTGAGCCCCGTCATCCGGCACGTTCTCAAAATATTTTCGCGTAGGAACGAGGGATCGAGCCGGGTGGCTCAGTTTCCGGGAGTCCCTCGAACTCGATTTAACGATGTACAAACTGAGTCAAGAAGAATAATCAGCAATTAATCACTTGACTACTTCATTAAAAGACACTTTTATTTATTCCATTTAATTTGTATGTAAAGTTCTATTTAATTTGTATGTCAAGGGGTTAAAAGCTTACAATCAAACAGAAATGAAAAGTCTTATTAGTTCAATTGTATCGATTATTTTAATGATAATTAATTATTTGAATTCTGAAGGAGAGTACCTTCACCAGAGAATGTTGTTTGAGCTTGAGCAGGTCCAGTTTGAACTGAATCCTCCGTCCCTCCGTGAACTCGATGGGCCCGGAAATACCTTTCATCTTAACCTGCGACAATCAAGAAAACACGATTCGTCGAGAACTCTGCCGCAATTTTTCTACGTATAAAATAAAAGCAACCTCAGGTAACGGCGTGTCATCAACCCGGCGATATGTAATAAGGGTTCGCTTTGGAAATTTACGATCTGGAAATAAAAGTTCGAGGGGAATTCTTTGGGCCGGAAAAAAAAAAGATGAAAGTTCCCGGGAACAAGTTGAGGAAAAAAATCTTTTCACGATGGTTGAATCATGATTGCAGCATTTGCATCCCGGTCAGTGGCCGTCGACGAGAAAAACGAAGTTAGTCGGTAGCCGGGGGTTGAAGAGATTAAAAAGTCCGGCTGGGTCAAAGCTGGCTCGGCACGGAAATTTATGCGCTCCGCGATCTCCGCGAGGAGACGCGATCCTGAGCCCCGTCATCCGGCACGTTCTCAAAATATTTTCGCGTAGGAACGAGGGATCGAGCCGGGTGGCTCAGTTTCCGGGAGTCCCTCGAACTCGATTTAACGATGTACAAACTGAGTCAAGAAGAATAATCAGCAATTAATCACTTGACTACTTCATTAAAAGACACTTTTATTATTTTCTTTTTTTTACGATTATTTCACAGAATGTGTCGAACTAATTTTTTTTTTAATCAATTCGCAAAAGGAATTTAGGTAATATTGGAAATGGGGTAGATAAATAAAATATAAACGCAGTGAATTAACTTTAATTCTGTACTTTATTATTTTTCACTTAAGAGCAAGGACCGTCTTTACTCTCTAGATTGCTCCAGGAGACTAACCGACCGATTACGAAGCCTAAATCAAACCGTCACCCAAAGACAAGGGATATCGGTTCTGGTTTATGTTTGACATCCGGTCCAGGTCCTCTGGATCATTTTTGATAACATTGATTATTTAAAGTTAAATAATCCAACAGGTAATAAATACACAATCTTGTACGTCGGCAGAATTTCAATAGGATCATTATTATCCTTTTATTTCTTGGTCAATGAGCCCGGATGCTACACCGCGTAAAGCGTTGTCTGCGAATCCATGAAAAACTTACGAGGCGATAGTGATTCGCTTATCTCAGCGTTACGAGCTGCGTAAAACGAAATACAGTCATTTCCTCCTTTTCACGACGAGGGACGAGGAGTTTCATTAGATCAGGAGAAGAACGGGGAGGGGGGGAAGGGGGAGTTAGACGTGGAAGTCCTTAATATCGCGGAAGGAATCGATTAAATAAAGAAGCCGGGGAAAGAGCGATGCATCCAAGGAGGCAATAATTCCGTGGTATTTCTCAAGGATTACTGTCGAGTCTCTCTTGTCCCGTTGCAACGGCGTTATTAAATTTGGATTTTTATGAAGTCTCTGAAAGACCGACAAATGCCGGGCGAAGAGCTACGAAATGGTAAATTTACTGTCGTATCGATTCTTCCGTATCCTCGGCACGAAACAAATAATCTCGTTAGGAATACCCGATTTTCTATTGCGCGGAATAAAAAATTTAATGCGATAAAATGCGTAAAAATCGGTAAAACAAATTATCGATTGGCAAAAAGGTTCTAGCTAAATTTAATCAACATAAATTTATAGGCGAAACGATGTAGAATTTTTACTTGAAACTCTCCTTAGTAGACGTCGATACGAAAAAAAAATGATTTCGAATCATTCCGATATCTCAATCCGTTCCCGAGATACGAGCCTTAGAAGTTTTAGGGCTACGCGGAAATTCCCTTGGCATCCTGACCCACTTCTCTCGCAGAATCAAAAGGGTCATTGTACTGAAAGCGCGTGACAGCCGTGGCAGGTGTCTACTAGACCGGTTAGTGGGCGGGTTGGGGCAGGTCAGTAACTGGGTGAGCGCGGGAGAAGGAGCCGTGCGAGGAGGACAGCGATAACGGCGCCGAAAAAATGATGGTCGTACTTATACGAAGTTATCGCTGGAAACGAAGGTCGGTTCCGGACGAACCAACGGGCATTTTAAAGAGGAGGCTTCCTCGCTGCTGGAACTTCAACCTCCGGTTTGGTATTGTTACTCGGTGTAAAATATTAAACAGTAAAAGTGTTCGGATTTTTAATTGGAGTTTGATATACGAGTTGGAAGTTGAGACTGGCTTCACTCGATGATATCTCAAGAGCCGGGAATCGGATCGCGATGAACCGAGAATTATTTTAAACAGGAAGATCTTCCGCTTTCATTGCTTTAAATTTAGTTCAATTATAATCACATGTTGGAAAATTATGAATAATTGAACGTCTGGAATTCCTAATATGATTCCTATTGGGACTTTGCATGAGCAAGACAAGGACGAGCACTGTCTCTCTCACAGGAGAAAAATTCAATTTTTCTTTTATGAACTATATTTCCGGAACTAAAAGACTTAGGATGAATCATCCGGGATTTTAAAGGGAAGACTTACTCTTCGACTTTCAGTCATGGGAGTTTTACTCTATTACAGATATTTATTGCGAAGCAGTAAACGACTGAACTTTTCTTTAAACAATGACAACTTGTAATCGTTTCCCTTCTACATTTTTCAAAAGTTTTTATTTTATTTCATATTATTGTAATTATTAAAAATTCTGATGCCCTGATAAATGTTAGAAAAGCTCTTCTACATTTTTCAAAAGTTTTTATTTTATTTCATATTATTGTAATTATTAAGAATTCTGATGCCCTGATAAATGTTAGAAAAGCCCTTCTACATTTTTCAAAAGTTTTTATTTTATTTCATATTATTGTAATTATTAAAAATTCTGATGTCCTGATAAATGTTAGAAAAGCCACGTGACTACGTAGATCCTTAAGGACACTATTAGCTATGGACATCATAGACAGGTTGGAGTATTGGAGAAATTCTGGGAAATGTTATGCCTGTCAACACGTGAATATCGTAAGCTCTCGGGATAGATTCAGTAGAGCTGTGGAAAGTTCGGTTGTAAAATCGTTTTCCAGCACGGGGTTGCATAAATGCCAGTGGGATCGATGACGGACTCGGTGGAGGATCGGAAGTTTCACAGCTTCTGCATTTGACGTTTGTTCGTCGGAGACATTTTTCGTGGCTTCGGTAGGAATCGTGGGAAATCGAAA